CACACACACACACACACACACACACACACACACACGCAAGTCATGATCTCCAACTGTTGATCAGTGCACAGTCCAAGCAACGCAGAGGGAGGACACTCGCTGATGATGATGCCTACATGGAGGGGGAGTAGCTGTGAGGGGAGCCCCTAAATTTTCTGTTCTTGTGGAAACTTGGAATATTTTGGGGGGAACGATGATCAACCAAAAGAAGAAGAAGGCGTTTTTGAAACTGCATCTTTCTCAACATCTTGATACCTCTATTAGGACATCCTCATCAGGATCTCCACCTGGGTCCCCCGATGCCCCGGTGACCACACCATGACCTGGATCACAACCAACTGCTGGACCAACGTTGCGAACCGTCCAGGTTCTGCCGACCTTCATTCTGGATGCACGGACATCTACAGGACCAGGGGCCAAGGCTTGATGAGGAACATGTTCCGCTGGTGGATCTTACTACTTTTTCACAATGTTCGAGGGGAACTCCCRTTCCTGGCAGGGAACAATGCTGCCATGCTGGTCAACTGGTGAGTCGTATTTTGGAGACAACTGAAGTACTGAAGTAGAAGTACTATCTTCTCTCTGAGTCACAGAGTTATTAAAAGACAGATTTTGCCATTAAAGATGTTGGCTATTTAACATAAAACTCACTGACAAGTCCCATCTTTCATGTTTTTAAATAGACGGGTTATCTAAAATTAGACATGCTACTTAAAGGCCAATGCAGCCATCCCAAGTTCCAATGCTATGCTTCTTACCATGAAAAAATGTGAAAGTAAAGATGGGTTGAGGTTAAAAACCTTCCTATTAAAGAAACCCCACTCTAAAAATTCTTTAAGTGACAAAAGATTAGTCTRATTTGGTCCAAAGAGTCGAACAAAGTTGTCTGCTGTTTTTGTTGAAGCCATGCTGCTTCGAGCAAGATTGTGGACTGTTTGACAAGAAAGCTTGCTGGACTAAATGAAACCTGTGAGCTCAAACTTAATTGATCTGGATAGTCCTCCAGGCTGAGGCGTTGGGTAGATCCATCGCAATCTCATTTCCAGATATTGAGTTGTGTTTTGATGTTGAAGATGCAGATGGTGGTTCGATAACTAGAACTCATTGTGGCTATCTCTCCTTAACAAGGATGACTGTGGATTCTTTAGTGACTGAAGAGTCCCAGTCCAAAGGTTGTTGGACACCTTGGTCAATTAAGATTGGTGTTTGATTCTTCATTTCTCAAGTTAGTGAATGGATGTCCTCAAGTTCGGTTTTCCTTATCACTCCAGTTCTGTTGCATGACTTGAGGGTCTGCTTCAAGGTGTTCTTGAATCATTTTTATTGACCTCCTTTTGTTCTTTTTCTCCAGTTGTTGATGGGAATAGAAGATTTGTTATATTACTAAAAGGGCAAATTCAACCTAAGAGCAAATGGAGTGACTTTAAAGTGCTTCAATACTAAAACCACAAAGACAACACGGACAATGTCAAAATGTAGTTAAAAAAACAGACTGACAGCTTTTACTGTCACTACCACAGATCTAATTCCTTCAGATCCACACATTTGGATTCAGTCTATGATAGTGCACTTTTGATATGGACCAGGCAAGACAAATATGATGTAAGCCATGATTAAAGTGTTTAATGAGGAAAATTAGAGAGGGTGACGTGTTAAAATGATGGCTACATTCAAGACTTTTAATTTTATTCATTAAAATTTGGTTGGTGTTAAAAAAACAATTGCCAGATTGTGGTGGCATGATTCTGCTAGTCAGCTAGCAGCTAATAGTGTAAATAACTTTTCATTTAGTGGATTAGCTTTTTCAATAACTTTGTAAACAGACCAATTGGCTTTTGATAAATTAGGTTATGCCAACTTTAAATCTGATAACAGCTAATAAACAACCTAATATCAACAGGTTTGTGTCAGTCCTTCCAGATTTCAACTTGAAGGATACAAAGACGTGTGACAATGACTGACAGTTGTTTTAGCAATTAGCTGTTAGTGCTAGCTTCCACTAATTTTGACTTCAGTTGTTTAGTGATAGCTTTTGCTAATTATTTTTACATGTTTGGTGGTTTAGCATWAGCAAAGCAATATTTTAGTTAGCTAAGATTTAGTGAAGCAAACCTTTTGGTTAGCTGTGCCCACCACTGTCGAAACCTTCCAGGACCTTTTTGTTGAGATTTTGTTGCGCTATCTTTAGTACAACAACCCTACTGCTGATGAGCAAAGCCAATGACACTTGTGACCATTGTCTGAAATAAAACAGTACCCCAGATGTTAGGATGACAGTAATGTTTTGGCAGGTCAACGAACGGGTGGCTTTATCAGCCAGACTTACTCCTTCAATCAGTGAACTCTGCACCCTTTCAACTATGGAGTCCAAAAAAAAAAAAAACTCCTAAGGGAAATCCAGGCTTTTAATAATAACTCTCCTAGAAACTAAGAGGAAGTCTACAGTTCTGCTTTACATAAGAGTATTAAACAGATGCCTTTCACCCCCTCCCTTTCCTTAAASCTCCCTTTGTCAGAGCGACACTATCCAATCCCAACACATTCTCTGTTTAGGCTTTGTGAGGACATAACCTGAATAGAAGATCTCATTTCATACACCAAGGTGAGGATGTTTTGCATTCACAAAGAGAAACAGACGAGATGCACCCAGCGACAGCCACCCAACCAAATTCTCACTGATCTGTGATGTCATCTTCTTATGGAAAAGCTAACGGGTGGTTGGATGATGGGAGTGGTAGTGGTGGGGGTGCGGATTAACCCGAGGTCTCAGGTCTCTCTATTTCTGTGTGTGGCTGATGCAGGGATAAGAGTTGTTGGAYGGGGCTGTCCGGGGGCCTGTGGACAGCTGGTTGTGTGACGAACAGGCCACTCTTGTCAACCAGCATCCCTGACACTGATTTTCCCCGTTCAGAGTCCACCTTGCATATCCATCATGCCACGCTACGCTTTTTTCTATTTTTAATCTAGACTTTGTTACGTCACGTTGCTCGGTATTACACTTATCATCCATCACATCCTGTGTAAATGACCTGACCGGGAAATAAAAATGATGATTATATAAAGTGAGGATGGCGTTCTTATCTCCCTAAACCGAATAGGGAAAGACAAGTGTTTGTGTTGGTGCCTGTTTGCAAATACAGTAACTCATTATATACCGGTTTCAAAAAAACAAACAAAAAAAAAAAACTTTCAAAACACAAAACTGTCTATCTCAGTCAGTTTTACAGATACTGAGCTCAAATTAGGTTTGGCCGTAGCTGAGATTAATCCCCAAAATGTGCTAGTAAGAAATCTCTGGTTTAGAACTTTAAAGTTTCTGTCTGTTAGCAAAAGATGGATGGATGGATGGACGGATGGATGGATGGATGGATGGATGGATGGATGGATGGATGGATGGATGGATGGATGG